GGATGGATGGATGGATGGATGGATGGATGGATGGATGGATGGATGGATGGATGGATGGATGGATGGATGGATGGATGGATGGATCTTCCTACCTTTCCCTCATTGATGTAAACATGCACCCTCCCTTCTTCCCTGGAGGTCCCTGTTGCCATGGGGGCTCCAACCAGCAGGTCTGACAAACCATCAGCGTTCAGATCCACCACACAAACACTGGAGCCGAAATAAGATCCGAGCTGGAAAGAGACTAATCTTTTAGATAAATGAAAGCATTGCTGTCACTAAAGGTTTTAAAATGTTAAAAGGAAAAAGTCTCACTTCTTTTCCTGTAACGGATGAAACCATTTCCATCATGTTATTGTTGCCTATTGAGAAGATGAAGACCTGAAATGTGTAAACACACATTGACTGCATTTAACCATCAATACTGCTGACAATATCAATAAAACCGAACTTAATCAGTGACACAAACAATAAAAGATGGAATTAGGGTTAAATCCTTGAGGTAAAGCTGTAGATATAAATTTCCTGTGGTCCTACCTTGCCCTTCTGACTGAACTGCGGAGCTCCACCCACCACCTCCATAGATGAGGGACTCAGGAAGTGACCAGCTCCAACAGCGTAACCTGAAGCACCAGGAAACGTTATTGTTAATGCAATGTTCACTAAAGTCTGAGAACAGACTGAGCGTTTGTATTCATAGCCGAATGGGGATATAACACCTGTTTAATTTAATCAAGGACAACATGTAGTTACTTTAAAATTATCATTTAGAGGTTTTAATTGCAATAACCAGTTCAGCAACACCACTGTGGTATAGATTTATTTTAAGGTCTGTTAAATGATCTCAAGTTTTGTTTTTGAAGCTTGTAAAGGAAGGAAATGAAGTGGTGCAAACCAACTCTTTAAAGCTAGCTGCCTTCCACTGCTGCTGCAGCCTCCCCACCCCCACCCACATCCTTCCAGGCGGTGAAACAGTTTCATTACCTTCCACAGTTTGATAAGTTGACTTCGGTGTTGAGAGCCACAAGGTTAAACCCCATGCTAAATATCTTCTGTTTTTGGTGTGCACTTGCTAAATATTTTAGTCATCTTCAGAAGGTTCATTCATTTTCAAACCCACACTGAAACCTACAGTGGGTGTATAATTGTGGATCTGTGTTGTGTTTGTGAATAAATCCTACAATGTAGGTTTGTTTGATCTGAGTAAAAGGCCCCGTTGCAACAATTAGCATAATCCCTCCTTTGTTGTATCGCTGGATAAAGAGATGGTTATGATGCAACAGCTGTGATGAGATAACAAGGCCTCCTACCTAACATTGCAGAAGATGTTTCACCAATTCTAAGTTTCGAAAATGACTTAGACATAAAGTGAAATATACAAAATGTCTTATAAAAATGTCTAAAAAGGCTTGAAGTTATTAAATATCAGACTTTAACTCTAAAGTTACATTTTAAACTTCAGACAAAGTGAACTGGACACTTTAATGTGACATAAGGTGGATAAATTGTAATATTTGTCAGATTTTAAAATAACGTTTCAGCAGATGTTAAACATGCTTTTATTTAAGCCGACCTTTCCATATGAAAAAGCTTTTTGTTTTTTTAATCCAATGTAATATTCAATTCAGAAGAAAATGTTCATTAACTGTAAGCTGGAAATTACCATTTTTTACAGAGATACAGATTATCTAGATTCATTTGTTTAGCGAATAAAGTTGATAAAATAAATAAACTTCTCTTTAATATTAACATTTTGTGGACATTGCTGTATATTGTCTAAAAAACTAAAAAACAGATTTATTAGAATGAAAAAAAAAACTACCACAGCCCAGTTTGTGAAGTCCTTCCTCTGGTGATTCAGGGATGGATATTTACTCTTTGCGTTCCCCAAAGAAAGCCCTCTTGATTTTCATTGTTTTGGCAAACGCACGACCACTGGAGCTATTTTTAACTGCACCCACCCAGATAAAAACACAGTTCCATCTGAAGAAGTGTAATCCCAGATAATGAAACTGCCAAAAAATGTTTGTGGTTTAATCAGAATCAGTATAATCAAGCACTGCTTGATAGTTGGTGAATGCGTTGGAGCGACACACCCTGGCTTTAATTGATAGTTTTACACCTCTGTACTAATGATTAATAATATATTTTTTATAATTCTGGAAACAAATACATTCCTGTTCTGTTGAATCTTATAAGTATAAGTTTTACAATGTGTAAGAAAACATTTGCATGTTTATTCAGTCAATATTTAATACAGCTAGGACAATATATTGTTAAAATATGATGACATACTATTTTTCTAAACTTAGCATATTGTGAAAATATATTTAACTCTTTATGTTATGGACAGATCCGCTTGATACATTGATTTGTAAGCAAATGGCTGCTTATCAATTAATCATTAGTTGATCAATAAGATCAATGAGATAAATCTACTTTAGATTAATTCATTAATAAGTGATTTAGATCCCTAATCTATATACTTAAAAACTCAAAGTATTTTCGTATTTGAACTCAACTTTGGATGCGTTACTCTTTTCTGAAACATTTCATGTGAAAATCATCAACATTTACTATTAAAACAATCAGTTGTCACATCTTGAGAACAGATATGAGTTGGAAAACAGTGAAGTCCATACCCCAGAAGGAGCTGTGACTCTCAGCACCTATATATACATCTTTATTCACATCTTGCAAAGAAAAATTAACTTTTGGTTTAATAACCCAACATGCAAGACATCAGTAGATGATGGATTTCTACATTTCAAGCTTATTATGCAGAACTCTCACTTCAGATACTTTAAGTGTAGAAAAAGTATTTTAAAAAGCCATTATGAGTCAGCCAATGACAAGTAATGTACAATAGATCTTATGTCCTTGCATATTTTTTCACGTTGACACAATAAGTGACAAGACAACAAACCCGCTTCTTTAACACTGTTAAACACTTAAATGTGAAAAGACATGTTACTTTCTGTGTATGGCAGTTTAGAGACGACCTGTTTGCAACAGATGTCAGTTTCTATGTCTACATGTATTACGTGCTGCCAAAAGTGGAGGTAAAAAACCTGCTTTGCAGAGAATCAGCTTTGCAAAACAAATGTCCTTGCATGTAAGTCATACTATCTAAATAGTTGAGTTTAGTTGAGAACATCACACCTTTCAGACATACATTCTGAGAGGGGAAATGTACCTTTATGGTAAACTACCCATTTTGTCTATGATTTTGTTAAATGTCTGCTTATGACAAATGGATGAGAAGGTAATATATTGTGTGCTAGAAGCTAAAATGATGCCTGCGTCATGCAAATATGGGCGTTTTGAATATGAAGATAAGAAGAAGGAGTATCTGTGTGAGAGTGGCATGGAAGGAAAAGATGAAACCTCCTTTCTTCATCTGTAAATTAGTATTTGAAAAGTCAAATGAAACATGGCATAGCTCAGTGAAAAATAAATAAGATGCAGTATATCCTCTTACTTTATGAATGTTTCTAACATTTGTAGAAACACATAGGGTGTGATCTTCAAAGATTTTCTTGTATAAAAACACAACCTTGTAGAATGAGCAAAGCTGATCTACAAACCAGCTAAAAATCAAACTGCATGTCTGAAATAAGCTAAACAGCAAGCGCAAACAGTATATAGTGACTAATATAAAGTGCGTATGTTGTGATACATTCTTCAGCAATAGCCCTTAACCACAACATGGAAATAACTGTTGAACAATATTAATAGGGAAAACGACGCATCCATAGAGAGATTAATGCAGCTAAACGGAAACAGAAAACACTATGACTGAAATAAAGTGTAACTCACCCCAAAGTATATATCTTTAGTTTGATAAACTGTTTAAATCTGAATCTATGGGGGGCTATTTTAATGTTAATGTTGTGCCTTTTTTTTTTTTTTTTACATTTTGCTCAAGCATGTTCGGTTGTGCATCATTTGTCTCAAAAGCATCCTAGTGCTGCTCAGTGTGTTGAATAGTGGCTATTGCAGTTGAGTTTTCCTGTTGGTTCAAATGGTGTGTGCTGGTACATGCTTTCTTCATAATAGCCCCAGGTTTGTGTATAAATAAAATTCAGACACTCCATAGTGAGCCATCCTGTCCTATGCTGCCTTGGCACCATCACCTGTGGGCATCACTAGTTCAGCGCCTACAGGCAAGCAGCTCAAACTAAAAACGTTCTACTAAACAAGTTCCCATGAATAAAATGCAGTGACATTAAAGCCCAGTTAAAGCACTTTAACCATGCAAAAGTTTGATTTTGTGGTGAATTACGCTTTAGGTAGAAAATGGAGATAAATACAATGGTTAAGAGATTAAATCTGACATAGGTGGCTTCTCTCACTAATCTCTGAAGGGGGTCAGAGGGGGGAGTTGAATAATGTATTGTTATGTTTGTCAATCATATTACTAAGTCCGTATTTAAGTCCTATTCTGTTATATGTTTCATCATTATCATAATTCTTACCTTCAGCTCAAAGTTTGTTTTTATAAATCACAATATTTGCAGGAAAATGGCATATGAAAGTTTCCAACCCTGTTTTTTTTTTTTGCATAAGGAGGATTTATAAATAAGACCTCAGGCCAATTGATGCTAAACTTCAAAAAGCGTCATGGTTTTTTTAAGAGCTTTAAATATATTTTGCTATATCATGCGGAACAGAAAATGCACATAGCATTTTGTATAAAACTTATTCATAAAAAAAAAAAATTCCTTTTTGTTCCCAAAAGTGCTGTAATGAAACTGAACCAAATGCAAATGATTACAATAAAGATACACCAGACTTTGCAATATATCCCCCAAAAATCATAACTGTATCTGAATTTTTTATGGCGTTACTACTCCTTAAAATTGTAAAGATATTAATAAAAGTGCATGCGTCAGAGCACCATGATCCTAATGGTTAAATTCCTGAAATAAATTAAGGTTTACAGAGGCTGTTCAGGATAATTAACAGAATAAAGTTTTACCGAGGTAGCTTCCAAAGCTGACAGCTCCTGTTTCGTCATCAAGATAAACTGACATCGCTCCTGAGGAGGTGTTGTAGGCCAGAACTGAGCCCGTCCAATAAGAAGTTCCTGGTGCTCCCATGATGATCAGATCCTGAGAGAGAAGAATTCTCTGAGTTATCCTTGAATGAAAAACTCAAGATTCGTTGCATATATTAAAATTCAAATTACTGTAGGTTGTAAAAACCAAAAACTTTCCTATAAAGTTCTGTACTTTTAGATTGCTTCTACCTTCTCCTCATTTCAAAGCCACTTTAAAGAACAAGCTGCAAAGACAAGTGAACAACAACGCTTTTCTTTACTTATTAACGTTGTTATTGAGTGAGTTTCACCAAAATGAATTATTTCCAAGATCATTTAGACTGTGAGAGAGGGCAAGTCTGAATGGAGTTAATCTGTTATATCATTTTGAGATTTTAAACCCCCTTAGAGAAAGATTTAAAGATGATAGCAGCTTTTTTTAACTCAGATAAAAAAATCAGCTACAGAATCCTGATTATTGCATCACTAAATATTACTGGAATGTTGCAGGAAACATGAAGGATTTTAGAGAACATGTCCCCTGTGTGTTACTGACCTGTGTCATGACGTTGGAAATACCCGCCTGACATGATCCATAATATTCACCGAATTTCCTCTGATGGTCTGTGATTGATAGAAAGAGGTGCTGAGAGGTGAAGGGGAGCAAATAATAGCTGAAAGTATTATCTTTATCGTTGAACAGCTGCTAATTTCACACAGACAAGGTTATAACAGACCACACGTGAACCCCACAGCTATTGATAAAACACCTGCATGTCACTGTGTTTATATACCTTTGTAGCAAGGAATGAGGTACCCGGAGAAACTCAGGTCACTTGTATATTGATAACAGACCCCATTAGGGAGCTTGTTGTTCTGGCTGTCTTTCCTTGAGTAGAACACGTTCTTCCAGCGGTGAGCACATGCCTGACACACATACACACACACACACAAAGCATAAAACAAACAACATGTGACAACAAAGCTATTAGTCACACACTGACATCAGTGTGCTGTTATTTCTCCAGTGTCACATTTATTGATCTTTTAATTGAGCAACAAAATGATGAGACAGTCGAGACTTTTCTTTGATCGCACCACTGTCAGCTAATGAATGCCTTTGTGGTTTTAAAATTTAGCAATCCGTTCTCCAGTTGTTCCATACTGCTATTTAGAACAATGCAACTGGTTCTGCTGAAGGCTTAGAAACACTGTATCAGGAGGAAACAATTATTAAGAGAGATTCCTGATTCACCACTAATTGTTTCCACATTAAAGCTTTCTTTTTTTTGGATTCTTTAAATAAATGAATGTTGCTTATTTTAGTTTGGGGGTACTTTTAGAGGTGTTACTGTTACTTGAAAGGTCCTAAAAAGAACAGTTGATGTTGCCAAACATGGTCAACATCTAGTCTGTGCGTTGAGACATTCTTTGGTTACTTAATGGCTTGGACAAAGACTTGAGAAAATACCAACACTTGTTACTTTTGTTAGTTTTAACAGCCCTGGCAGTTGTTGCAATGATATTAACAGTTTAAAAGAGAACAGAATAATATATTATATTATAATATTAATCATATTATTATATTATATTATCAGTTAATCAGGAGGTAAATGTAAAAATCGTTACTATAATAATTTCCTGTGGTATACAGGTTGTTTAATATGTGTGTGGAAGCACAGAAGTATAAAAAATGATTTAACAGGAAGCTCTTTTCTACAGTATCCTAGGATTTTTTTTTAGGTTAATTTAGGCTGCAAAAGGGTAAGAGAGAGCAAGACTGTCAGTAAATGACTGAAGATTTACTGATGTACATTAACAATAAAAACTTTCCTCTATCATTTAGAACATTGAGTCTCTGTCTCGAAAATACTGGGAATAAAATATTCCATTATATCATCAGTAAAGTGGAGAAAGAGTCATAAACAGCCAGTATGGGCAGCAGCTATGGAAGAGATGAGGCATTACCAGGATGAGTCCACCATTTTCACTGGATTGTCTTGACAAACTGACGCCAAGCCACTGGTGATCACTCTCAGCTTCACACGTTTTACCACAGCTTGTAACATCTGGACACAAAGAGAGATGGTTTGGTGATGACATTCCTGCTGTTTTATATGTCATTTCCTGCAAGATGACATGTTTCAAATCCCTTTAAATAGAACTGAACTCCATGTTTCTACTGCATTTGCACCATATTCTTCTGACCACTGCTGCACTTTATAAATGGAAATGTTCATTTCACTGCTGTAAGCTGCTCATTCACTGTTGAAAAACTGTATGCATTTACATTTCGTTTTGTATGCACTCTGTGTATGTCTTCAAATGTTAATTTATGTATTCTGATTTTGTCAAGTAACAGTTGCAGAATTCAGTGGGTTTTATTAGTTTCAAGAGAGAAACCATCATCCAAGACCAGTAAGCTATGTGAAGCCATATCTTTCTCATGATGCTCTTAAAAGGGTTCTTTAGGCTTCTATCTTAATAGAGGAGAAAAAACTTAAAGACTATAGTGGATGACAATTTTATATTATTAAATGGCAAACAAACACTGACCAGCAGGCATAGGGTAGCATGTGCGCCTCTCAGCTGTGATGCTGCAGCGATAAACTGCTCCTGGAGACTGAACCTGCGAACTGGAGGAATTAGCCACTGGAGCACCGACCACCAGCCTGAATGAAAAGAGAAGGACAGGATTTGTATGGGTATTTTATTGTGTGAATAGAGAGCTGTGTGCGATGAATCAAAGGTCTTTTCTTTATTGCCAAGAACAGACTAATTAGTGTGTATAAAGACAGAAGCAGGACACACAGACTTCTTTACAGGAAGCTGACCTATAATGATCATTAAAGTAATTACTATAGGAGTCTAATACATGGAGAAACAGCAAACTACTGTTTTAAATGAGAGCATGAACAGATACTGTTAGCATCTATTAATGCTTATTAATGATTTTTAAATATCAACCAAATATCAAGAGCAAATAAAAATCTGTATATTGCAAGCATTGCATTGCACAAAAATGATCTAAAAATAAATTCGAGATTAAAGATATCATAAGTGGATACGTAAAGGGTAGATAAACTGAGGATCAGCTGGCCTGCAGAGAGGCCAAATAAGAATTTAGAAAATGTAAAATATTTTACAGGTGGAGCAAGAGCCATACCCTAATGAAAAAAGCTCTATGCTAATACAATGAAGTTAAATATTGGATCACCAGTTCAATTACAACTATGGAGCATTAATGGCAGATTAAGAACATAAACATAGTTTAAAGCAGACCATTTGTGAGAGTAGTGGCGATGCAGCAGCACTGAGTATCCAAACATTGAGGAGCTGGGGCCTTTGAACACCAGACTGTGCTCCAGATCCAGATTGTAAGCTGCAGCAGGACAGACCAGAACCAGAACCAAGCAAAAGAAGAATCCCACGCAGCCCCCTGATGGCTTCATGTTAGCAGACTACCTGCAGGACAAAAATAGAAGATGATCGGTTCAATTAGATGCTTGAAACTTGCCAAACTTTACAAAAACAACTAGAAGGAGTTCATGTTGTACCCTGATTATATCATCCTGTCCTACTTCCATTTTTACCCATTTACGAAACCATAGTCAGTTTATCCGTTTTTCTCATTAAGCATTTTTATGAAAATACCGAAGAACATGAAAATTAGCATTCATGTTTGGCAAAATATCTTCATCTAATCTGATTCTGAAGCCTGGTGGGCCATTTTATTTTGTTATATGAAACATCATGACTGCTGGATGAAGCCATAACTTTCAGCGACTGTCCAGCTCTTACATTATATTGATCGGAATCACAACAGAATATTTCCTTAGAGTAGGCCATGAATAGAGCACAGCAAATTAGTTTAAATCATTAGTTATAACAGTGGGTGCCAAACGTTCATCTGGCAGCTAAAATATTTGCATGAAGTGTCCATTAGATTAATGCTTCCTTTTATACTCTAAGAAGTTAAATACAAAGTGACTGAAAACACAAAAGTTTGAAGAAGCGGACACCCGTTACAAACCATGTAAACATTAAATTTAGAGATTTATGTTTTTACTTCTATTTTACACACTATATAGGGTCTTTTTTTAGAATAATATGAGGTTTAAACATTCCATAATATTATTGCATGGTTTAAAAGCTGCAAAGAGGACAGATTAAACTTTAATGTAAACATCTTTTAGTTATTACATTGGAGACGGTTAAGGAAGAGGAATGAACCTACAGCTATATAATGAGGTAAACACAGGACACAACTGTTTAGCTTGTTAAACAGCGTATATATAGTGTGATTAATCTTTCTGTAATTGAGGTATTGGATTGAGGCACAGTTTTTTTTGGAAAATACTCAAGATCCGCCTTAGTGGCAAGGCATCCAGGAGGTCAGTGCAATCCCTGCATGACCGGGATCATCTGATGTGAAAAGGAACCTCCAACAGAAGGAGGAAATAAGAGAGGGAGGTTGGAAGGAGCTGTGGTTAACTCCCACCTCTTAAACCTGCTGCTGTGGACAGGGCTGTTCCCACACGGTTCAGCCTGGGGCTCATCTACTGTGTCCCTCACTAAAACATTTAACCCAAAATTCAAGTAAATGTGCTCAACTCTTTTAAAATAACCATTTTAAAACCAATTTATGATCAAACATTCATATTTAATTAGCAGAATAAAAGTATCAACTTCACAAGCTCTTTATGAAGTCTAAATAGTTTGATGTCTCCTACATGTAGACAGAGGGATGGTTCTACATAAAAAAAAAATTTGTTTAAAGCCATAAGGTCGCAAAATGCTGAACTGTCATTATAATCAACCTCATTCTTAGCTACTCTAATTTAGTTTTAAACTTCAAAAATCAAATTAAGAATGTGAAAAATCTTAAAGCTTTTTTTTCTGTGCTCCAACTAAAAACCATTGTTTAGGGTTAGAAACATGGAAAAAAAAAAACCTGTTCTATCTAAATAATGAATATTTAGTACATCTGGGTTTTTTTTTTTCCTTCAAATAAACTAGAATTGTGCGGAAAACTACTTAAAGAAAAGCAAAAAGAAAAATGTTCTCGGTTCCAATTCTAATAAAAAAGTACAAAATACAATAATTATTAAAGACATTAACTGAATACATACCAGAGGCTTTCCCGGGTGAAAAAACGTTTATTCCGGGTCAGAATGAGTCTTTAGAGTCAAACTGTTTCTTCAATGAGATTCCATCAAACTCCTCCTGTCCGCTGCTCTGACTTGTAGGTGAAATATCCTGTTACTCCTCCCGGCTGCGCACAAAAATAGCCACACAAAAAAAAAAATACTTTACTTATTTAACACAAATAAATAGTTACTGAGAAGAAACCAGTCAGAGCAGAGTTTAAATGAGACTAAGAGCTGTCTGAGAGCCTTTCCTCTCTGTCTCCATGTGTGTAACGGTGCTTCCTGCGGCACCCGCCCAACCAGCGAGACGGGGACAGCGCGCGCCTGTGGGGTTGGATGTTGGGGAGCGCGCGCGTCTAACGGTGTTTCCTCTGTGCTTATCCTCCTAGTAGTGTTAATTGGGGGACTTTTAATCCCATTTTACCGTCTGAACGCTTAAGCAGGCCTATTTAACCGATACAAGACAGAGTGGGAAACAACAAACACGTCTGGTTTACACTCAGTGGAATTTTTTTTTTACTCTTAATTTGGTAAAAAGTTACAAAACATATATAAAAGTAAAGCTGCTTATTTTTAGTCGTGCGGTTTTTTACTTCACGGGGAAGCCCATCAACATGTTCACTCTTGCATAAATTAATCAAATGACTAATTTAAATGTGAAACTATTAAACTTTTAGTCCAGAGTGAGCTCAAGTGGTGATAGTCATAAAAAGAGGAGCCTCAAATCAAGTTCCTCTTAAAAGTTGAACTGTATAACTTAAGGTCAGCTTAAATAAAATGCATTCCTAAAAGAATGTCTAAAATGCTTTGCAAGCTCAATTTTATATCTGCTGCAAAATTTTACTGAAAAAACTGATTTAAAGTAGACATACCAGCTTACGTAGGGAATTTTGAAAGTTATTAATGAACAGATACTGACTTAAGAGAAAATGTTAGGTAGTCAACAGGAAAATTATTTCTGTTTTTGCAACATGAAGTTATAGTTTTAAATATTAATGAATTGTATCAATTGTTAAGATTAAGTGCTGTCAACAACAATAAGAAACCATGTATATTACAGTTGCTAAGGCTGTGTTTTGTATCAACAAATACAGAGTGTAACATAAGCAATGAATGTGTATTTCATTTTTCTAGTCATACTGTTAAAAACGCTTGTCACATGCAAACAGTCACACTCACAACATTCACACATGCATACAGAGATATGCATATCGATAAGCATTTCGGAGATAAGTGCCATGCCTAACCACAAAAATACTTTTTGGCAGTTAAACTCACAGTTATTTCTCTTTCCAGATGTCTTCTAATCTTGCGACTATGTGTCACAAGACGTGTTTTGATGTATAAACTTCGAAATTTCTGGACCATCCTGGGCTAATTTTTTTTAATCATTAATATGATAATACTGAAAAATCCGCAAATTGCTCAAACTGACACCAATCTGATTAACTTTCAGCATTCAGAGGTCCCCTGTCAGTAAATCTTTGTCAGGGCAGACAGAGCAGCTGCATAGCTTAGCATTAGAAGAATTTATATTAGGTTGTTCCACTGTCTTGTGGAAGAATTGCAAAATAACAAATATTATCTCATAGGTAAGACTAGTTTAGCTGGAGATCAATTGAAACTGCATGTTAGTGTAAAAAGTTTATGAATGCATTTTTTTTTTTTGGAGTTTTTACAGCACTAGTGGCATTTTTTTTATGAACAGTATGCTGAAAGTAAAGGTGGTATGATAGAAGGGAAGAGACATGCTTGAAAAGATCACAAGCCAGATTCAAACCCCGTTCGCCCGCGTCGTGGACTAAGTCCTCCATACGTGGGTCGTATGTGCTAACCACTGCACAACCAAATTACACCCCAGGAATGCACATATTTTTAATCATCTGGAGTTTATTTTTCTACTTTATTGAAAGGGCTCTTAAAATCAGCATTCCTAAACCGATATGTTTAAAAAGTAATCTTTATTTGGCCAACATCCCTGTCAAATAATTCTGTAAGTTTGACAAGAAAATGTTGTCACTGGTTGTTCTTTCCAAATGCACATTGACCCATAGAGCCATTATTCTAATCCAGATATTTTCTAAAGTCTATTTCTTTATAATCTACATTTGTATTGGAATTTGACACATAGAGGCAACTAAAAACTGCATTGCCTTTACCCTTTAAAACCCAAATATACAACTACAGTTGTTCTCTAATGAGAATGTATATATTTTGCTTTTCTGTTAAATGTTCTCTCTTTTTCCAAAAAAAACAAACATTTTGTTTTGTTTTTTTATATATATATATAATCTTCAAGTAAATTTATTTAGATTATTGGGCATTGACCCTGTAGTTCAGTGGTCTCCATGTTTGCCTCACACTCAAACCTATCAGAAACAGTGTTCTGGGGTGAAAAGAGTTGGAAGCATATGCCCAAGTTGTGAGGGAAACAGGCGTGTGATCTTACCCAATGACAAGGGATCGGTGGCCTAGTGGTTAGAGCAGTGCACTCTTGCCCTAAGCAGGTTGCTAGTACCCTGTTGGCTCCCTGAGCAAGACGCTTAACCCCCAATTGCCCCCCAGGAGCTGCCCAATGCACCCCAAGGGGATGGGTTAAGATGCAGAAATTAGATCAATGATGTATAATTATTATTCAATTATTATTATTGCTGTTTTACTTACAGTTACAACTAATCAGTGTTTAAGTAGTTAGTGTGTGTGTGGCTATTTCAGTCATTACTGTATTACATAAGGACCAAGGTTTAATACTAGTAGTGATTCATTGATTATAACACCAGCTTCTAGTAGTTCTGTCAAGGCCTCAATAGCATAGCAATTAATTTCCTAAAATAGAGCATCTTGAAAAACAAAAGCTGTTGTCTAGCTAACACTAGGTATGTGTGATGAAAAGTTTCAGAATAGCTTATTAACATGTTAAGTAAAGAATTCCTTTTGTGGTCTGTAATGCAGAATACAGTTCTGCTTGAAAGGTTACACATCCTCCCATGAAAGTAAATGATAAATTCACACAAGTAACTCAAATATATTTACTAAAGGGATATTTAGTCAAAGAAAATATCAATTTAGAATTTCTGTTAAAAAGTTATTCTAAAAACAAACTTATCAATTATCACATCACAGAAAATGTTCAGTGATTGTCTCAAAGTGTTGCTCAACAAAATCTTAATCAGGCTTCTTTACTTGTTTTATTTATTACTATATACATATTTATTCAAATTCATTGCCATGATTTACATTTTTATGTTTTTTGTTTATCATTACTTTTGTAAATTTAAACTTATTTTACCTGTAGCTGTTTTTCTCTGTC